GAAATAATGATGCCAAGAAGCTGTTGAAATGCGACTCTGGTGTAACGCATGAGTTTGTTGCCTCCCGTTTTTCTTTTTGCCCGTATTTTTATTTATTATTATTATTATTATTATTATTATTATTATTTTTACAGGAGGGGCGAGAAGCGGTGATTGAAGCTACGAAAAGATGCTCCGGCGCACGGTTGCCCGTTTCATGGCGTCTGAGGCGATTGGACCGGCACATCCCGATATTCTCTGGGGCTTCATGGACGGGCGCTACGCCGGGCCTGGCTGGGTTAGCTGGATCAAGCAACTGCCTGTGGAAACGCTCACCATGCAAGGTGGGACGTCCATGACAAATATGAACGACCGTGCGGGGGTTATTTTAGATCCAGAGGATCCACGACATTCGATGGCACTTATCCAATGGGGTCCAATGAATCACTATGATGGCGCTTTTATGCAACTCTCTTATGGGGACTACGGGGAAATTAAAAAAGGTTCCCGTCTCATGCAGGTTTTGTATGATCATTATTTAGAACCCTTTTCTATGAATCGTGTGTGCGCCCAGTTGTACTTTTATCAAAAAGTGCCAAACAATTATCACGCTTCTGTTGAAGCCTCTGCAGAGTACATTGGACAAACCGCTTCGCTGGTAGGACAGGTAGTGGTGGGTATGGGCTCCGTTATCATGGAAGGCGTTACAGTGAAGGGTGACACAAATTGTGTTTACATAGCCGAGGGTGTACAGGTGATGGAAAACACATGTATTGTGAGTGATGCACCGACGGATTTGTTAGCTTACCAACGTCATGAGGCTATTAATCCATATCAGCAATGGGACGGAATGGATGGCGTGTGCCGCATAATGCAAAACACAATGATTGAACCAAACTGCTTTCTTGATAGCTGTTCTATTGGTCCATTTAACCGCATCGGCCACAACACCAAAATTCTGAAGGGTGTGACAACAGGAACAATGGTGCATATCCTTCCCGGTAGCGTAGTTACGGCCGATACAAGGATTGGAGATGGGGAACTTTGGGGTGGGGCGCCTGCTGTTAAGCTTGGAAAAGTCAGCAAGTTCGAATGGAAACGCCCCTACTATGCCTCTCTGTTACACAAGGAGTGTGTTGTGGAGTCATACCGCAACATGTCTCGCTATGGAGATCAGGTGGTTTATTTTCAGGACGAGATGGGCAAGCTGGATACTTTGATGCTACAATTTGAGTCTGACATTACACCCTCTGTGAAAGCAAAGATGAAGGAGTTTGTGCAGGGGCGTGAACCCTTTCATCACATGCTTACTCGCATCACGCAGGGTTGGTCTCCTGCCAACCGCCCAGATGATAAGAATTACAACCTTTGTCCCCCACTACCGGCCGTAAAACTCTTTGCGGAGCACAACAACGACTCCTCCGATAGTTCGCTTCACGGAACTTACATGAATATTACGAACATATTTAACGATTTTCGGTGGTAGAAAAGGACGTGGAGAGATTGTCATTATCATTATTATTATTATTTAGTAATTTTTTTTTTCTTTTGTTGTTGCGAAGAAAAGAGAAGGGAATATATTTGTTATTTTTGCCTGCCCGAGTGTGTTTCTCGATTAGCAAAAGGACAAGGCCAAAAATAAAAATAAAAAAAGGGGGGGGGGGGGGGAAAGGTATGGGGCGGTAATTAATGGGATGCAGGATGGGAGGGGATATTGCAGTTAAGTAGTTTAGAAGGGCTTCGGGTATTGCGATTATGCAGAGGGGAGTAAAGGCATGAGAGAAGTTTGATTTGAGAAAATAGAAGTGTCGTAAGGAAGAAAGAACGTGTGTGTGTGTGTGTATATATAGGACCGAGTTTATTGATGCGAATGAGTGGAAATAAGTCAGCATGGCTGTCAATGGTACGGGTGTTGTTGATGTAGTTGTTTAGCGGTGGACGTATGGGAATTGCATTGCAACGCCCATTTTAGTTGCATATTTTCTCTTGTCATTATTGCACATGAGAAATGATTTACTTTTTTTCTTTTTCTTTTCTCTCTTTCTTCCTGCATGCATTTATTTGGGCTGCATGCATCGCACACGTGGTCAAAAGTGCGGTGCTGGAATTACGGTTTGGGGTCTCGATGGGAAAAATGGAATTTCACACACTCGATTTCCGCCGAAAGAGCCCGTACGAGGAGCACGTTGTATGGGAAGAGCTGGATGCGCTACGCGACACCGTAGCGTTTTTGAAACAGCGGCAGGAACAGCAGGCGGCGCAGTGGCGTGTGATGTCCGAAGAGCAGCAGAAGCACTGCACGGACCTGGCGTCTATTTACCAACAGCTTCAGGAGCTGCTGCTCTCTGGCAGCGATGCGGAGGGGAAGAAGCAGAGCGGCGATGCGGTGACGGCATCACAGGAATTCCTCAGAAGTGAGGTCTGTGACTTGCTGCAGAACTTTAAACACCATATTGAGCGGCACACGGCGGAGACGGCCCGGAGGCTCGACGGCTTCCAGAGTTCCCTGGAGGAGATACAGAAGAAGGTGGAACATGACAATTGCCGCGCCGCACGTCAAGAGGAGCGTCTGATGCAGCTGGAAGAACAGCAGAGGGATATGTTGCGGCGTATGTCTTTTGTTTCAACGCTGGAAGATCTGGAGCAACTCCGCGTGACATTTACACAACAACTTCATTCCCTGCAGGAGGATACCGCTGCCACCATAAAACGTCACATGGCGAGTGTTGATGAACGCTGTGCAACACATGAGGTACGATGCCGTGAGGAGCAATTAAGTTTTCAGCGCGAGACAGATCAATCTATAGAACAGGTCACGCACTTGCTGCATGACCAAATCGAGGCTCTTTGCAGTGAATTGAAAACACATGCGTCATCGATAGACGTCAAAACGTCCAACTTTGAGGAACAAACGAGGTGCGAGATGAAGGGGATGCTACAGACGCATTTGGAAAAGACATGCGAACAGGTTCAGGAGGTACATCAAGAATTGAGTAGTAAACATCTGCAACTTGTTGAGGACACGATGGAAGCAGTAGAGAAGATCGTCCACGTAAGTGACGATCTACCACGAAGGGTGTCTTTATTGCAGGACGATATCGCTAACATCCATGACACTCTGCACCGTCATGGAGAGATACTCAATGAACAGTGCCTTCAGGGTTCGCTGCAGGGTGCATTTGACGAGGTGAAAGACTGGTTGCAGGATCTTGAATCTCGGGTGTTGAGTCGTGGTGAGTTTGACGAAGTGCTGGCGAGTGTTGACCGCAAACTTGCCGCACTGAAACGAGAATTTATTCTTTACATTCCTGCTAAGCATCCGGCAGGTCAAAGCATAGAGGACGAAGGTGTTAGTTTTGTATCCACCGCTGCTGGTGTTAGTGGTGGTGGTCGGCAGCCGAGCGAGCGAGGGAGTGAGAAGCGAGGAGGCATTATTTAGCTTCTCAGTCTACACATGCACCCCCTTTTTTATTATTATTTTATTTTGTTTTACTTTCATTTTTGCCGTTGTTGCGTCTCTTGACATCCGCGGGATGGAGCGGTCTTTTGCTGGGATATTTATCCGCTTGAGGGTGTCATCACCTCTTTCCATTACACTGCGATGAACGGCAATGTGGAGTCTTTCATTTTTCTTTTTCTTTTCCCACACACAAGAGGATTTTGTTACTTTTTTTTCATTGTTTTTAAGCAGTAGGAGTGAGCGCAAGAATAAAAAAAAAAAAAAAGGAAACACTGTGGGCCGTGCATCGCCGATGGCGTCGCAGAAGCCGGAGGATGTCACCGTTTCAGATGGCATGCTAGCCAACCTGGAGCGCGAATTCAATGAGGCGATGCAAGCGTTAGAGGGACACGTGAAGTTTGGCTGTTTTCGCGAAGAGTACGAAAAGCTGCACCGGGCTTTACTCAACAGCCATGAGTCGGAGAAGCGTCTGGTGAGGCGCTGTCAGCAGCTGACGCAGGAGCTTATGAGTAATGCTGCCAAGATGCAGGCCGCGGTGAAGCTTGCGCAGGACGACCACACCACCATTGAGGCGCTCAAGAAGGAGACAGAGAAGGCCTGGCGTATGGTGGATGTCGCGAACGAGAAGGACGCCCGCGCGAAGGAGACGATTAAAAAACTTCGAGAGGAGGTCTTCTCGTTGCAGGAGATTGTGGAGAACGGCACCGAACTCACCCCCACGCAGACCGCCACGCTTGAGGAGTTGAAGCTGGAAAAGAAGCGGATGCAGTCGGAGTATGACGAGCTTGTCAAGCAGATGGAAACACTCACGCGGGAGACGTTTGAGTTGGGCCACAAGATGAAGGAGGCGGAGGAGGAGATGATGAAACATCAGGAAGAGCTGCGCCGTGTTACAGATCGTGAAAAGACAGTGCGGCAGGAATACGAAAAGGAGTTAAAGGCGCGGGATCGCTCCAACTTACAGCTGCGGGAGCAACTCCTCCTCGTGCAGCAGCGTGAGAAGGAACTGAAGTCGCATGAACAGTTGCACAGCAAACTTTCTTCCGCTGTCAATCTTTTGCGGTTGCAGCTGCAGGAGGACCAGAACAGACGACAGGCGCTCGCGCAAAAGATTGAGTCGGCGGAGAGGCAATTGTACCACACGCAGCAGTCCTACGATGATGCCGTGGATACAAGAGAGGCCTTAAATGAGCGTCACCGAGAGGTTCGAAAGGAGATTACAGAAGCAGAAAAGAAAGCCGTTGATATTACTGCGGAGAAGCAGCGGACCCATCGGGTACGGGACAATGACTACAAGGAACTTTGCCGCCTTGTGCAGCAGAATGAAGACATACGGCGGGATCAAACGAACCTTGAACGGCAACGGTTAAATGTTGAGAAACGCATCGAAATGGCAAGGAGAGAAAAGGAGGATTTATGTCGTGCGTTTGAAATGATGCAACGGGAAAAGGATTCGCTGAAGAAAGTCTCAGAGAAGGAACGGGAGAAGATGCAGATCATTGAAAAACTGATTGCGAATGAGGTGGAGAGCCAGGCGGAGATAGAGGACGCCATCGCACGTGAGCGTGAGATCGGCACACGTCTACGGCAGACGGTGGCACGGCTGGAGAGCGAACGGGAGAAGTATGTGCATGAGGTCTCGCAGGTCTCCCTGCACCACACGCAGGCACAAGAAGAATTGAAGATCGCCAGCATTACTTGCGAGGAGACCCAAAAGGCGATTGATGACAGTGAGCAGAAACTGAAAAAGCAGCAGAGTCGATATGAACAGGTGCGCTCGGAGCGGAATCTTTACTCAAAGAAACTCATTGAGTCGCAAGACGAGGTGGTGGAGTTGAAGCAAAAGTTCCGCATGATGGACCACCAGATTCTTCAGCTGAAGGAGGAGTTGGCGATGAAAGAGAAGAAGTTTCAAGAGGAGTCTAGCGCGCAGAAGACGTCAAAGGACAAGCTGACAAAAGTTCGCAAAGTTGTCAATGAGCGAACTGCCGCCTTGGATGAGGCGAACCAGCGGTGTGAAAATGTAGGGCAAAAGATCAAACAGCTTGTGAAGGTCATCAGCCGGTGCGACAAGGAGCTCAGTGAGCATCAGCAGCGGTTCCTGGCGGTGAGTGGGGAACGCGATCTCTTAGGCACACAACTTATACGGCGAAATGACGAACTTGCACTTCTTTACGACAAGGTGCGCATGCAGCAGGAGTTGTTGACGCACGGGGAAGCCGCCTGCCGGGCGCGCGTAGAAGACATGCGACTGCTACGATTAAAAATTGAGGACTTGAAACGGAAGGCTTCGATTGCACAGAAACGCGCATTTCACACGGAGTGTCTGAAGGACGAAATCAACCAACTCCAGTACGAGTTGCAGGCACAACGAGCGAAGGTGCAGGCCCTCACAGAGGAGGCGGAGAACCCGAAGAATACGCTCCGCTGGGAAAACATCTCCGGCCGCGATCCTACACCAGAGGAAATCGAAAAAAAAATTGCTCTGTTGCAGCGTCGCCTCATCACCAAGTCTGAGGAATGTGTCGAGAAGGATATGGAGGTTCAGGAAAAGCAACGTCTTGTGACGGAGCTGCAGAACATTTTTGCCCGTCAGCCAGGACATGAGGTGGCACGGCAGCTAAACGTCATGCATAAGGAATTAGGCCATAAGAACGCGGTGATGAAACAAAAGGCGTCTGAGTTGAACATGACATCTACACACATTTCAGAGCTGAAATATGAGGCAGAACGTCTACGACGTGAACTCCACGAAACAAAGAGAAAGTACTATGAAATGCAAATGAGCAACGACAAAATTGCGGAGTATCTTTCACACACCAAAAACACATCGACCTTTTCCGGATTTTGAGATGCAGGTGACGTCGTGGTTCTTGTTCTCTATGCATCACTTTGGAGTGTGAGTCCACAGCGGCACCGAATGCTATTCACCATCATACCATTGTTCTTTGTGTTATATATATATATTTCTTTTCGGGCGATGTGTCTGGGCTTACTTCCTTGGGCGGCAATAACACATACACATACCCAATGCAATGTAAAGGACACTGATTGTAGTGTATCCATTTTATTTAAATGCGTCTTCGCATGTTACTGACTCCCCAGACACACATAACAGACGCTCATTGCCATCATGTGACACACACGCACAAGTAGTGAGAGAGTGAGGGATGTTCCTGTTGCGCATTTATTCATTTGACTGCCCTTTTTTTTGTCTTTGTTTGTCTTTGTTTTTTTTCCATGCAGTTCTGCTCACGCAAGTCGCACTCAAGGACAACCCAACTGCATCCGAATGACCTCTGTGGAATCTGGCGCCAAGGTCCTCCGCATGAAGGAGGGCGACGTGCAGAAGCTCGTTGCCATGCACTGCCACCTCGGCACCAAGAACCGCAGCAACGCCATGAAGAAGTACATCCACAGCCGCACGAAGGAGGGCACGAACATCATTGACCTCCACATGACGTGGGAGAAGCTGATCCTCGCCGCCCGCGTCATCGCCGCGGTGGAAAACCCGCAGGACGTCACTGTCTGCTCTACGCGTCTTTTTGGTCAGCGCGCCATCTTCAAGTTCTCGCAGCTTGTCGGCACGTCGTTCCTGGCTGGCCGCTTCATCCCCGGCACCTTCACGAACCAGATCCAGAAGAAGTTCATGCAGCCGCGCGTGCTGCTTGTCACGGACCCCCGCACGGACCACCAGGCCCTTCGTGAGGCCAGCCTTGTGAACATCCCCGTGATTGCCTTCTGCGACACGGACGCCCCGCTGGAGTTTGTGGACATTGCCATTCCGTGCAACAACCGTGGCCGCTACTCCATCAGCATGATGTACTGGCTGCTGGCCCGCGAGGTGCTGCGCCTGCGCGGCACGATCCCCCGCAGTGTGCCGTGGGATGTCAAGGTGGACCTCTTCTTCTACCGCGACCCTGAGGAGGCGCTGAAGCACGAGGAGGTCAACCAGGCCGCCGCCCCGGTGGCGGAGGTGGACGAGGGCTTCGGCTGGGTTGAGCGCGACAACAACGCCTGGGAGCAGTGAGTGGCGGCCACAGCAGCCACCACGAGGAGGGACGCCTGCAACTCGTTGAGGCTTGGTGTGAGGAACAACAATTGTCATTTATTTTGTTTCTTATTTGTGTTTTGGTGAGAGGGGGCACCGTGCATTCGACAGCGTGATTGCCTTGACAATGCCTGCCCCACCGTCATGATTCCCACTTTGTTTGCATCTCCGGAGAGGGAGAGGGACTGTCTTTGTGCGTGTATGCCGCGCGGAGGTGGGCAATGCCTGTTTACCGAGCAGCGCACGCCCAGCTTTATCTTTTTTCTCTTCTTTTCCTTTTTTTTTTTCCTTACTGCTTTTGTCTGCATGCGACACGTTTTTATATTTTAGGGCTAGGAGGAGGGAGGCGCCGAAGGATCATCTAAAAAGCCAAAATTAAAGCTTATCAAAGGAAAAGGAAACAGAGCAAAAAAAAAAAAAAAAAAACAGAAGAAGAAAAGAAAGGGAATGATTTTCTCTTTTAAGGTGTTGTTTAGCACGCTGCTGATTGTGTGTGTTGTATTTTTTCTCTGTGCGGATCTCTCACGACTGCCAACAAGGGAGAGTGCGATGATCGACATTAGCCGACTTCTTAGCAAGACGGAAGATTGTGAAAGGTGTGGTGAATTTCTGCGCAGCTTGGACGCATTTCAGTTGTCACGGAGCACATTGCTTATGAGGGCTACTGAGGGATATGATAAACCGCACAGCTCCTTTATCCGTGCATGTGAGGAAAACCCAAATAATCTTGGCTGTGACACAGCACTTGACAGGGACCGTACGGAAAGAGCGAAACGAGCATCATTGATTATTTCACAAGTGAAGGAGTTGCATGAACCGAAGGACGAAGGCGTATCTTTACTTTTAAATAACCGTTATAATGACTTTATGAAATACCTTTTGGACGAGAAGGAACAGGAAGGTTGCTTAACGTGCGTTGTAGAAGATGGCCGGTTGGCTCGTCTGATGACAGAACCCGTCGCCGATGCTGTTCTTGGCTACACCTGGTATCATCTTTACCCTATAAATGAGCGACATCAGGCATTCTGTTGGAGGCATTGCGAGGGATTACTTACCTACTTGGAAAGAATATACCTGTATTTTCTTCGGTTTTATGTAACACGGGCAGTGCGATTCCGCCTGATGGCATTACAAAGTGAGTATGCCACTATTGTCTTAATAATGCTACAGTTAGCCTTACTTGTTATAATATTGCAGAGGTATGTAGCTGATGGGAGAGGTGGTACTGGCAGTGGGGCACACTTAGGGGGCAATGCGCACACAGAGAACAATCCGGCGGGAGGGCTGAGGGGTAACGCACGTAGGGCGGCGCTGGGACGTGGGAAGGGCGGTGGTGGGTGGTGGG